CCAAAAATGAACTTCAAGCTAGCAAACTTTCTAGTTTACGACGTCCCGTCTTTATACCCGACGACTTTAACGTCTGAGACGTTAAAGTCGTCTGTTAAGTGCGTCGTTCGGACGCACTTAACAGAAGACGTTAAAGTCGTCAGACGTTAAAGTCGACTGCCTTATTTACTGTTTTTATACTAGACGTTAAAGTCGTCTTAAGACGACTTTAGGGAGCTTACGAATTGACGACTTTTGCACGACGCCGCCGCTGGGTCACGTCATAGTTCTGCGTTGCCGTGCTATAGAAATTTGAATTTACGATTCGTAGTAAAGACGACGACGTTGGTGCGCTCGGCAGGCAAATTTTCCCGCCGTTTCTGAAGTTTGTTTTTTTCTTTTCACAAGTAAGCTTATTTGTTCAACCAAAATGTCTAAATTCATAAGAGAAACGAGAGCTCGTATTGCAGACGCTTATGGAAACAGATTTATAAAGGACCGAGTGTTTCACTGTATTTGTACTTTTATGCGTTTCGTGAACAAACTCAGAGTTAACTACTGATTTAGACAAGACAACAAAGGACGAATGCAAGGCGCGTTTATATACAGGGAGGGCATTTATAAACTTGCTGAACAGCTGTAGTTACTGTGATGAGATAACCACTTGCAATGGTCTAGTTGTAGCTTTGGTACCATCTTGCCAATATGGTTTCACTCGGTGTTAATTTATGTTTGTATACAGTTAGCGAAGGTGTTGATTCTTCGGGTCGTTACTCCAATGAAAACAGACAAACAAATCGAAAACGTATGTTAAGAACATGTCCCTAATGTGATACTTGAATTATCTGGAAAAATCCGCTGAAGTATGGAGGGAACACTTTGAAAATTAGTCTCACGTCCTGCTTTTTCTAGGACGCCGGCGAATCGCTGTCAACAACGGCGTCGACTTTGGCGCGACGCCGGCAAGTGCCCAGATTAGCATGCGCAGTAAGCCTGTCACGCAGTCCAACGGCGTCGTCGTGCGAAAGTCGTCAATTCGTAAGCTCCCTTTTAACGTCTCAGACGACTTTAACGTCTCTAGCATAAAAACGGCCATTTATTGGTCCTAAATCTGGGAATGGCGAACTCTGCCGTCCTCAAGTTGTAGGGTGAGCAATGCGCGTGAAATAGCTCGGATATTTTGATGGGGCATAGTTTGTGTTTCACCTTATACATAAGGATAGCAATATCTTGCAGTCTTCTGTTCTGAAGAGTCGTTAGGTCACTTTTGTCCAGCAATGCTTGGTAGCTTGATTGCTTATCTAGGAAAACTGCGCGTAGTGCTCTTTCTTGGACCCGTTCAAGCTTTCTTTTGTCGGTAGCACTACAGAAATGCCAAGTCAGGTGGCAATAGGTTAAGTAAGGCAATATGGCTGATTTATACAGAGTTAATTTAGCATTGGTAGGGACAAGTTTTTTAAGCCTTAACATTACACCTACTCTTTGACTCGCCTTCTTACATATTTCATTAATGTGAGTGTTAAAATTCAACTGTTCATCTATGGTGACCCCTAGCAACTTAAGACAGTCAGAAGATTCGATGGTGTTTCCTTGAAAGTGTAATGGAGTGTTACTTTCTGTCTTGTTATGCTTTAAAGTCATAGTTTGATATTTGCTCAGGTTTCCTTGTAGCAGATTGCTAGCGTACCATTCGGAGGCCCTATTGGCATTCCTCATAAGATTGGTGTCAGCCATTTTCAGGTTCCCCGCTGTTTCAAACATTTGATGGTCATCCGCGTATATAGAGAGATGCGAAGTTATTACGTATGTCAGATCGTTTTGAAAGATGTTCCATAACAATGGGCCAAGGGCCGATCCTTGTGGACAACCCCTATCTGTACGCTTCCATTCACTTCTGAAAGCTCCCAGTTTCACTCGGTTCAATCGATTACACAGGTAAGATCGAAGTAGATCACATAGTTCGTCATTAAAACCATACGCTTTTAATTTGCTGATCATTAAGGACGGATGAAGCGAATCAAAAGCCTTACTCAAGTCGGTAGATAAGATTTTAACAATTTGCTGGTTATCACGTGCTGATTTCCACGCTTCAATAAGACTTATCAATGTTGTTTCACAACTGTGGCGTTTACGATATGCCGTAATTCGGGGATCCAGACGGCTGTCGAATTGCTTAGAAATCTGGTCGCTAAGTAGCTGCTCGAACACCTTACTAACCACTGGAAGGACAGTTATTGGTCGATAGTTCCGACAATCTCGTGGATCCTCTTTCTTAAAGACGGGCGTCCATTCCCCCCTTTTCCAGTTGTTTGGCCATTGTCGATTTGTAATACATGAATTGTACAGATTCGCCAGTGGTATAGCAAGTTTTTCCGCTCCATATTTCAGTACTCTGGCTGGCATATTGTCATATCCTGATGCTTTCCTCGTATTAAGTGACTCCAGAGCCTTTCTAACTTGTGCTTGGTTGACTGGATTGGACTCGATCATTGGTTCTGAACTACTCGCCATTTGTATTTGCAAGACACTTGGACGGTTATTTAAGTCATTCTCCGAGGAGTTTCTTAAGTTGACATCTCCAATATCGCTTGCTATCGTAGCAAAGTGACCTGCTAATATTTCCGCAACAGTCTCTTGGTTGCTAATGATCTTGCCGTCAACTTTTACGTTAATATCAGTTCCCAAGACCCCTTTCTTAGATCCAAGAAACGGTTTAAAAGTTTCAAAGAACGTTCTTGGGTTTTCTTTAAGGTCAGACGTCTTTTTCTTCCAGTATTGCCGTACAGCAATTCTTCTTTGTCTGGTTGCCTCATTTCGACGTTTCACTTTCTCCTCCCAGTTTTGTTGTGTCCTTTCATTTAGATATTTCTTAAAAGCTGTTCTCTTTGCTCGGATGGCATTTTTCCATGCGGTCGTCATATAGGGTATGTCTTTATCCCTGACTCGCTTCTTTTTCTGAGGGAAGCATTCGTCCATAATGTCTTGCATGATTGTATTCCAATAATACACCTTGTCCTCAACATCATCAAACAAGTTTCCGACATGCCAAGGTGCCGTCATTAGTAGGTTATCATATTTCACCGGATCAAAATTTTTGTAACTCCTGAAATGGATGATTCTACGTGAATATTTTTTGGCCTAAAATTTCTTTGATGATCACAAACTATAAAGAGTCGTAGGCGACACTGGCATGAAATAATTGTTTTTACTATAGAGATAGATGTTACATCAAATGCCGAAAATGGTAAATTCCACAATATGCTAATTGCAAAACATTTTAGAAGGAGCAACCCAGAATGTGAGATGCACAACAGGAGGGCATTTTGCATGCGCATGCGTGCAACCGCTGTACAAAGAGGGAGTGATTGCGGTAATCAAAATGGCGCGGAAAATTCAAATTGTACTTTTCATGTTCATTTTGGTGTCATTTCTTATTGAAAGTTTCACTATACAAGGAAATCGTGCTGCAGAAAAGTGCGCAGTGTGTGGAAAGACTATTGTTGGAGAGGACGGACGGCCTGCTTCTGGTTATAAGAAAGATTTTCCATCTTGCTTCGGCATCGATGCGAACACTGACGGGAAAATATGTGGACAGTGCAGGAAAGCCGTAACAGACCACCGAAAATCGGGTCAAAAGTTTTTTTTATGTAAGTACGATAAATTTCAGATCGTATCGTACATAAAATGTAATCGTCTCAAAATGAAACATTCCTAATTACAGCTAGTCGGAAAGTTCGCACGAGGAAGGGGAAGGCCGCCGCGCAAGAAAGAATTTCCCCCAAAATGTGGCGTTTTGGATCTTACCCAAGGCGATGGAAAGAAATTAACGTCAACTGCAACGCAAACAGTGGAACGAGTTGCTGATGCTGTCGACATTAGTTCCCGTGGCATGTTAGATTTAAGTGAGTGGGAGGTAGAAGAAACGTGTTTTGGGGATCTCCTTCGTGGTACCCTCGGCGATACCCTAATGCCAGCAGGGCTATTTGAAGAAGTAACGGACCACATGAAGCAGCTATCAAAACGTAAGACTCACAATAGTTTATAATCTTCTCTTTTATTAGGGAGGGAAGGGGAGAAATAACACAACTGCCCCCAGAAGCACACGAAACAATATTTTATTATCATCTTACAGGGTGCGACTTAAAAAAAGAAATTCAGCTACTGAAGGAGAGGATGTATCAAGAGTTTACTTTGCGCAGGAGGCCTCCAATCTACGATCCTAAAGAGTTTCAAATCTTCTATCGTTCAGCCGGAGCCCCCACCATTTTCGATACAATATTAAACGCAATGACGGAGCTAAGACATTCACAGTTAAGACTAGGCACCAACGAAAAACGAACTGTTGCCATCATTTACAAGCTATGTTATGGACTTAGCCAGGTTTGCAACTGGTTGCAAACCGACCATGCGTTGTTTCTAAAAGACTCAAATCAAAACCAAAGAGGCTTAGAAGCCCAAAGAGAAATGGGAAATTCCCGTTGCCGGAGAAGAGTCAACATTCTACATGCAGAACTTGCAGAAAGTAACACAAATATGATAGGAGAACTGATTTCGGAAGCTATTAAAGAACAATGGCAACTGGTGTTAATCATTGACGATTACACTTCAGTACACAGCAAACGACGTCCAAAAAACCGATCAACTATGCCATCCCAAAAGTATGTGCACAATAGTGGTTAAAGTGTTTAAAAATGTCAAGGCAATTCCGAGATGTTCAGCAACAACATATCATAATGTAGACGGCATAGACATTACCTCTTGTGTCAAGACTTTGTCAAGTTCATCCTCAATGTACAAACTGGCCTTTACCTATTCATCTGCAATGCCTGCCTGGATACGTAACACGTTCTTCAATCCAGAACTCGAAAGGCACAGACTTGCCGTGCATGAATATAATGAGAATGACTCTGTGAGGACGATGAGGCAGATGACAGACGTTCATTTACTGCAATTCATTGAGCTTACTCTTAAAAGCAGAGAAGGACTTTTCGGCCGCATATGACATTGTTCTGAGTACAAGAATGTCTGACTACTTAAAAAAATTTCTTGTAATTCAGCCTGGAGACTGGCCTGCGCAGTTTTACAGTAGACAGATTATTTACGAAACGCTGCAAAAATACTATCGATCCTCCCCCGATACACTTCATGGTACAGCCATTCCTACGGATCATGAATATACAACACCATTTAATTCTGGATATCGTCAGTGGGCAACCGCCGAAGAAAGTCCTGCACACATCAATAGTCTGCCTGCTATCTTATCTCTTATTCCATGTATAGGTCCTCTTCACATCTCTCTGAACGGCAGAGAAACAGTATTTAAAGATTTTGTGGGCTTCTTTGAAAATATTTACAATAATCTTTTTCCCAGAAGCAAGTTGCCAAAAACTCCCAGGCCATGGCGCATTAGTCTTATTCTTGAAGTCGTTTTTGGAGGCTGGCTGTTTATCACGGAAGCTGTGAAAGAAAAATTCAAAGTTTGTAAAGACATAGAGTACATGACATTGCTAAACTTATTAGACAATTACATACCACTTGTTCTGACAATTTACAGCACATCTTTCAAGCTAAACAACTTCTTTGAATACTTCAATGCAATGATACGAATATGGACTATGTTCATGTGTCTCGAGCGGCATCATTATGACAAGGCTCCTCTTGTGTGGATAGCGATGTGTACTTACTGGGGGATAAATAACCCTCACCTATATCTCATACTTCGTTTGTTTTTAGTTATTTTTGATGAGTACCCTGTGGAAAATGCCCATAGCATCATTAGATCAAAGACAAGTGACAGTGACACAATTGAACAGATGCAGCAGAAAGCAAAGGCTTCATTTCAATCAAAAGCAGCGCAGTATTCACTTAAATCTTATTTTCCCCCTCCTTCTAGCTTTACCTTCAGTGCTAACCAGCTGAAATATCTAAAAATGAAGTGTGCAGCATTAATTTCTTCAATATTCATAAAGATAGCCCATAATCCGGGAAAAGGGCAATTCAGAGGCAAGGGGAAAAACCTGAGGGTGGTTTTGCCAAGAATCTTTGGACCAGACCCTGTTAAAACCAAAATACTTCCTCTAGGCTATTGCTCTGAGATTAAGCCTGATCCCGACAGCATATGCGACATGCCAGGTTGTACTGTAACAAATGATGCTGAGTGGGTTCTCCTTGAAGGATGCTCTCACTCATTTCACCTCACTTGCCTCTCAGAAATCCAACACTGCCCATTGTGCCAAAAATTTATACAGCAAAAAGCAGATAGCCTGGGAACCACAGCAAAGAATGCAATCCTCAACCCCAAAAACAGAAACACAGAGAAAAACAAAGGCAGTGATTCAGTAACACCACAAGATGAATCTAACTTGCTTGACACATCAAAGGAACCTACATGTAATGTATCTAACAGTGAAATAAAGGATTTGGATGCCAATATTACTTACTTGATCAATCAAATATCTACCTTATCACCTATGGCCCCTCCATCACAAAGGAAACACTCTAAACAACAGCAACCCACTACAGTTACTAAACCGCCCCACTGTAAGAAGTGCGGCCATCTAGTCAAAGGGCATAAAAGACCAAAAGGAAATCAAGTTAAGTGTGAGCAGTGTCCTGGGGGTATATGTATATCTACTGATGCTGATAGATGCAATTGTAACTTTGAGTGGCACAGTACAGACACATCGCAACAACTTCACTCAATCACTAACCAGCAAGTGTTACAAACACCCACTAATCAACTAGCTCTTCACGTCACACTCCATGGCAGTGTNCTGTAAGAAGTGCGGCCATCTAGTCAAAGGGCATAAAAGACCAAAAGGAAATCAAGTTAAGTGTGAGCAGTGTCCTGGGGGTATATGTATATCTACTGATGCTGATAGATGCAATTGTAACTTTGAGTGGCACAGTACAGACACATCGCAACAACTTCACTCAATCACTAACCAGCAAGTGTTACAAACACCCACTAATCAACTAGCTCTTCACGTCACACTCCATGGCAGTGTTAAAGAATGGTTATTACCACCTCAAATTTGTCAGTCTATGATTTTTGGTGTTCCAATAGGAAGTAATGCGTGTACCATCATAGCAACAATTGGGGCAAGCAAATTCCTTTCTGGAGAGCTAATAATGCCTACAAATGATGAAAACGTTCTCCGAACTGTGTCAGCATTTGCTGGTATCATCAAGTGTGGTAACATTATGTACAGGCAAATCAACTTACCACCAGGCCAAGTTAACCTTGACATTAGAGAAGCTATAGCCACAAGGAGTGACCAGTTCTCCTTACTGATCACAGAAGACATTGGCATATTTTCAACTGAATTTCTACAAAGTAAAATGCAGGAAATTGTTCAGATATCAGAGGACACATGTACAATATCAATTGTTCCACCCGACAAGTCTATACTTATTTGCTTTGACCATACACAGAGAATAATGGCTTTATTTTAGAGTCATAAACACCAAGGATATGGTGGTCTGATTGCTGTAGGGTGTTATGATGATATCAGAAGATTTATTATGTATATTGAGCACATGATTGCTCGGGACTGGCAGACCAGAATTCCTGGTACAAATATGACTGTTCTCAAGACAAGAAGTGTAAATTTATAACTATCCATTGACATCAAGTAATGGCAAATTGCAGTTGAAAAACGATTTTTTGGCCCCATAAGAAATATATTTCTGAAAAATACATTAATCGCTGGTTAATTTAACACCATATTTAATTTGGGGAGAAAGGCTAGATTTTGAGTTTTGCAGCCAAATACTATGTAAATTACTGTAATAAATTGTAAAGGAATAGTGTAGCAGCAGAAAGCATTAAAAAATTTCACATTTGAGGTTGATTGCACTTATTTTATCCCCTTGCTATTAAGAAAGAGTGATAATATCATAGTGTGAAGCTTTCAGGGGGAATGCTCGATTTTGTACACAAAACCACATTTGAACATTTTGTGAATAAAATACCCTTCAGCAATGTACGATGAAAGAAACTACAAATTACCACACCCAGCGATTTTTCTGAGTTTTAATTATTAAGCCCAGCTATCGTTGAGGTACTCCAGAATACATTAAGCATGAGAAAACGCTGGGGAGAAAGGCAGGATTTGGAGATAACTTAATCCAGAAACCCGTGAAATAGTAATTTTTGCTGGAAAACACAAAAATCAACTACGTTTCGCTTAAGGTGATTCCCTAGTAAAAGAACCTAACATAGATTGTAGGTGAAACTTGGTACACTGATGTAACAAGTCAAGAAGATGATAAAAAAGTAATAAAAAGTGGGGGTCACCGTGCTTGTTTTGACGTCACAATGCTAAGAAATACGGCTATTTTGGACCCTTTGTCAAAAACCGCGCGCAGCCCAAAACTAGACAAAAATGAGAGATTTTTTCGATGATGCATGTGGTATCGCACAGAATTTGACTTTATTGTAATGTTTATCCACTTACATACCAGAAAAATGCCTTTTAATGCTCCTGTTTTTATTTTACGCTCCAAAGTAGAATTGAATTGAACACGCGCTTTCCGACCCGTGATAGCTCAATCTGTACAATTTAGTAAAATTGCCAAAAAACTGACCATAGATTTGTGCCAATTTTTTTCTCATCCAAAGGAAGCACTGTCCTTATTAAAATCATGAAATAAAAAATGGGGGTCACCGTACTCGTTTTTGCGGTAGAGCTGCAGAAAGTGAGTACCAAATGCATTTTCTCCGAGTTTTGAGAGAGGACTGGGGCGAGTTTCAAAATAGAATGTATGTGAAAGGGGGAAGAAAGTATTAAAAAATCTGTTTTTACAGAATTTACATCGAGATATCACATTTAGGATACAATGAGATAAAGAAAGCGTTTAAATAAAAATCAAAGTGAGTAAGCACAAGTTAAACATCCACTATCGAGGTTCTCCGTGAGGAAGGCGAACTCAGCAACACGCGTACTGCCTACGTTATGCACATTCCCAACACATTGAGTCTCACCTCGCGATCGGCAAGAAACAACCGCAAGCAAAAATTCCAATTGCGTTTCTCTTCAGTCAACTTCATTTTAATAATGTTACTTCACATGCTCTTTTTTACGGTGGCCATCTTGTTATGCGCAGTAGGAGATGCGCAGTGCAAAACTAGGGAATCACGTTAAGATATAAATGTTTGATCACATCCGCATGTACTAAAAAATGTCGTATCACATGTAGCTACTCACTTGTTGCAGTGCTTTGACGGTTTAACTTCTTCTACAGTTTCAAAGAAAGGCTTGACATTCAAGCTCGTAGCAATACTTCGTCGCCATATTGTCTTCGTTGAATGTTCCACACAGAAAATATCCAAGCTAATAGACGGCATTCAAAGCCCAAAGAAGGCCGACTATAACCACAAGCAAATAAGTACGGATGTCAAAGAACCTTTCAAGCGAAAACCAATTGAAATTGCCGATATTCCCGGAGAAAAATTCAAACGCGAGTTGCGAAGAAAGTGTAAACAAAGCACACTTCAGCGCCAAATCTGCACAGGGAAGCCCACGGTGACGCATGCGCACACAAAATGCCCTCCCGTTGAGATGCACAGTTTAACTCACTGAAAGTAAAACAATATAATGTGATTTGAGGCCTTGTTAATGGACAGGGGCACACAACGATTGTTTCCTCCTAAATGCATTGAAAAGTCTTTATCCACAGTACTTTTAGATCTCTAGAAATGCATTCTAAGCGGCACTATAAAATTTGCATCTGTTCAGTCATGCTTGGGAAACTTGAGGCTTTTCGAGATCATGAGGGCTTCAGTGTTTTTTTTCCCCGAAAATCTTAGTTGCAATTGCACGTTTTACGAAAGTGAGAATTTTTCTTATTCCTCTCTCCATCAGATTTTAGAATAAGAATTTTTTCCTGACTATTTCCTGACCTGTAGCCTGAGATAACGACCATCTCTCCTCGCTACTCGCCACTAGGGACATTTTAGCAGGAGGGATGTCTGTGCATCAGCGACAGAAATTTTACATGTAAAGTGATGACAGAAAATCTTTCCGCAATTTGGTCAGGAGCTCTAATTAGTTGACGTAGCAGTTATACAGTTTCGGGTATCGTTTTAAAGTGACAAACAAAAGACAAAAGGCCACAAAGGTCAAATGTAAAAGAGATGAACCTACTACAAAAAATATATATATATATATATTCTTCTTTTAAAGAAGCATTTGAGTTTTGCTTGAGCTTGTTCACAGAAGAATACAGAACTTTACCATAATCAACCAGGAGAACTATAAAATTGCATTAATTTACCAGATAAAATTATGGTAAACTTTGATTTATGTGATAAGCATGGAGTTTCTGATGCAGAGACAGAGATGTCCCTCCTTGCGAATTGTCCCTTGCGGCGAGGAGCAGGGAAGAAAGCTGTTTTTGCAGGCTGCCTGTCCTGACTGGCTACAAACTATGATAAAGATAAATGAGGTCTAATTGTCTAAAAGGTGGCAAAGTTTTGTTGAGTTTTCAAGGACTCAATGCAACACGCGGGACTTAGCATAATTATAACTTAGAATTAAATTTATTTATGTCACATGGTCTAAACTATCAGTTAATCCCTGATGAAGTTTGAGAGAAATGCATGAAAATAATATATGAACCCTAAAAATTTGAATGCTCTGAGTCAGGAAATTTTTAATGTTTTAACTATCAAATATTCATGCACCTCTTTCCAACTGGCTGGTTTTGATCCAGTGATGGTTTAAGCCTGGCCTTACGTACAGTAATGGTTGCCGATGGTTTGGGAACTGATGTTTTTTTCGGAGGATGCACCTGTAGAATTTTTAACATAGAATTTTAAAAGAGCATTTAATTAATTATTATGTTTTCTGATGTGACTGGAAGAAGGAGATAAGAGTGGTTTATCTGGAAGAGGCAACCTGTTCACAAAAGCATACAGTAATTGTTGGAGCCATTTCTGATTGGCTCCAATCCCCTGGCTTTTTCCTCATAACCACTCGGCACTTACCATAATAGATTGTTTTCACTGTCACACAATAAACACAGCACAAAAAAATACATTGGAAACCATAAAGACATCTTCTAATACTTGAAATGGTTAAACTGCTGGAAATTAGTTAAGTTAAGAACTTAGAAACATTGTGAATAAAACAATTATTGAATGCGGCCGAGTATGATAAGAAGAATTATGCAGATCAACATCCTTTTCGATCTGCATACTTCTTCACAGACATGAGACTTAGCTTCATTGTTAATTGTAACAATAATTTTTGAGTGAATATTAATATACAGCTTTAGATTAATGTAAATCTAGACCTTTGAATGGAACAGCCCACGTTGAAAGACGGCAACCACAACCTTTTCTTGTGGTGGGAAGCTAAGGGCATAAATAGCCACAATGACAGCAGTTAGGATATATATGTTAGCCATATAGAATTTTACACTGTTAGCAAACAAGCAGCATTTTATAATACATAAGCAGTTTGTCAGTTTTCTTTCTCAACCCACCTACTCCATAGGCAGTTATGATTTTGTGATTTACTCTTTCGATGGGCCTTAGGTATTATTAATATTAAATGTACGTTAGGGTAAAATACAACTGTAATACTGAAAATTTTAGGTTATCCTTTTCTACAAAAATTAGCCTAACATAAGGAGTAAAAAATGAAAAATCAGAAATTTTTTTTCCTTCGAAAATTGTACCTGAATGGAACGTTCATCTAGAAATTATTAGCCGTATTCAAGCACTAGAACATTCTAGGCAATATTTGCTTCTCCGAACAGACATTTTACAGAAAACAGTCGTTGAGTACCCCTAATAGAGGCAACGATGAAAGTTGGCGACGTCTATTTACCAAGTCCAATATTTTCTCAATAGTTGAGGCACATAAACACCTTAGGCCAGGCCCCAGATGTTGAAAAGCTGGATAGCGCTATCCAGTGGACAAGTATTAGTGAAACTAATTGTAATTAATCCACTGAATAGAGATTTATCTGGTGGATAGTGCTATCCACCTTTTGAAAAACTGGCACCAGGTTTTTTTTATGAGGTGCATGTCCATATGTGACGAAAATTGACAATGTGGAATGCAAAGTGATCCATCTTATCATCAAAGTATTGTAAGTCTCCCAAAAAATTGCAAAAAAATTTACAATAAGTTTGTAAAAAAATTACAATATTGTAAATATTGGAGCATATACCTTTTCTTTCACTGACATGAAGTAGGTATAGTTTATCACTGGCTTTCGCTCTTGACGGGAATCTTATCTTTTTTTCAAGGGTATATGATGGAAGACTGAAGTTGTCCGGAACTTCCGTTCCATCTTGGAACACCAGTATTTGCCCTTGTAATTTAAAATGAGCTGAAGCCTCCGCAACTATGTTATCTTTGGTCTCTCCATTGACCATATGTCCCACTGCCAGTTTTTAATCTGTACCTGCGGCCTTTCTGGTCTCAATGAAGGACGGAAACAAGAAATCCTTTGCTCTTAATGAAAAAAGAAAACATAGCATCAATATCCTCATCTTCTTGAATCACCTGGTGTTCTGAATTAAGTGAGGTACGGTAATACTTAGAAAGTGCTTAGAAATGAATTTTGATCCGGCTCGGAAACGAGGCTGTTGGAAGTGAGCATTTTACCCAAATGTTTCTCTGGATATTGCTTTAAGTATCACACAGTTGATGGGAGCATTTTTTTCTTAACCATACTTAAGATGCTTCACATGTTGACATATTTGACCAAAGAAATTTGACCAAGAAAGGAAAATGGTTTTAATAGGTAAAACATTCACTACATACGTTGAATGAAAAGGAAGACCTGTTTCAAGAAATAAGATCAAGTTTTATGGTACCAATTTTGTTTCTATATTATCTG